ATACATCTACATTGTCATTCATACTCATCCCATCGTTTTTGTCTGTATGCATTGGCATCAACATCAGAGGCTGGTGCATCAAAAGCAATTTTTTTTCTTTTTTTTTTTCGGTTTTACATCTAAGTTGATCAAATACAGACAAAACTCCGACTAAACAAAGCTCAAGCTTAATACATAAGAATATGAGTAATCTTATCCAGTGATATAGGTATATATATATAAAAATCACCAATCACAATAAAGCATATATCAGTGATATAACCTGTTGTTGTCAAACAATACAACCAATCAAAAAACAGCTACTATTAAAATATATCAATTTTATTTATATCAACCAATCAAACCAGTTCTGGCATGCTGAAGTTTTGGGTCACTGACTTGGCCTTCATTTGCAGAACCCCCATGAGTTTTAAAATGGAGATTGTAACAGTCGATCTGCAAAAACTAGCAAGATTTCGGACTTGATGTTTTATCCCCTCTTGCTTTTTTTTCTTGTACACGGTGCCGTGAGAGGAAAGAAGGTATTAAAAATAGGGTCTCTACAGGGTTAAGCGGAGTTCAAAGTTCATAGTGCACGCACAATAGATGTAGCAAGTGTCAAGGTCAGCGAAGCAATTTTTTTTTTAAACATATTTAATCAAAGTTTGGGACTTTTCCCTCTTTTTTTCACTGAAGTGTGAATTGCAAATGTTATATTTTTCAGTAGAAAGCAGCAAAACTAATATAACTAAAAGGGTAAAAAGCTTGGCAGATTGACTGGCCATATAGATCTACAGAGGTCAAAGGTGAAAGGTCAGGCAGATTTTGAAAGTCATTTTTGGCAATTAAAATCATATCATACATGTCAAGTGAAGTTCAAAGAGAAATAAAATATATCTCATTTATATATTTTAGTTTAAAATGTTGTAGCCTACAGGATCATTACAATAGTGGAGAATTATATGACATAATAATTTTCACCTTAAGAGGAGGTAGAATTTTTGAAGTGCTGAATCGATAAATTTCAATTCACTTGAGCAAAAATTAGTTGATTTTTTTATGGTGCTTTGATACATCTTTAGTCTTTTCAAACCTTGGATAGCATTGAACTTGACATGTATGGTGATTAAATTGTGCATTTTCTAATTCTAGCTTGTAGCATTAAAGCTCTTGGGACTGCTAATATAATCAAAAGAAAGAAAATTGAAATAAAAGAAACAAAATGGTCAGATTTTTGTGCCTTTTCCCCAGGTAGAGTAGCAGTGAATTAAAAGAGATAGGAAGGGTTGAAAGGTCAAGTCTATGAGGTTCTAAGGATAACCCTGACCCAATTAACAGTGTTAAAAGTGATTTCGTCAAAATCATTCAGCATAGCAAAGTGTCATCCTGCCATAGCATTGCCAAGAGAGACATTCTCTTCAGTGCCAAATAAATATTTCATCTTTTAACAACTTTTGGAATGTTAAAAGAGGTGAATTTAACATATCAATCAAAAATGACAGTTCATATTGGGAGATATGATAGATGTACTTAATGCAATGCAATGGCAAGGACCACAAAGATCAAATAATCAAAACTAAAAAAAATATTACGATTCTAATACAAAGTCAAACTACAAAAAGCAAAAAGAAGGAATACATGAATTAGCATTATGCATTGGAAAACAGTGACTATAGGAATAAGAATAATTAAACAAGCAGATGGAAAAACCACAATGTGAAGATGCAAATCATTCAGTTATAAATTTGTCCATTTCTAATTCCCATTCCAAATTCAATGTGTTAGAGAGAAAAATCAGAAATTGTGTTTACATCTTCACACTAGTATAGACATGGAAGATCTTATCAAAATCAGAGATTTTTATCAATCATGTTTTATTTTCTTTTTCATCCAAAATTTTATGATCAAATAGTCATCTGGCAATCAAGTTGTTTCAATTTTTAAAATACATTTTTTTGTTCATTTAGCATCATTTGAAACTTTCTTATAATAATTTCAAATTAGTATTTTTGAAAATTTTGTACAAGGAGAATTTATTTCAAGTTGTTGCTAAAATTGTTAAGTTCTATAACTCTGATTTTAACAAGGGGAGATAAGCCTACCAGAGCTTGTGCTGCAGAGGAGTTAGCTCTTTGTTGTGCTGCTTTGATCTGGGCCTGTAAGTGAGGGGGCGGGTGGAAATATTTACACGAATCTCGTGTACACTTCCCCTTAATAAAGTCCATACAAACGGTAATCTGGTTCTCGCACGTCTCGACTGTTACATTATCTGGGGGGTGTGCATAGCGACATTCGCTCGGCTGTCGCGTGCAAGACCCTCTCTGAAACTCTCGACATACCTGCAAAAGCATTCAAAAAAGGCCAAAACAATATTGTTAGCAACTACTGGTCTAGTTTCCTCTTTTTTTTCTATTTTCTTTCTCCAACAACAGCCCTCATTTGTCTAAACCCCTTCATTTTCTTTTTTTACATTACAATAAACAGGATAAACAAAGCGAAAAGCAAGCGTTTTCAAGGTCAAGGTTATAGATTATCTTATTTTTCTGCTTGAAGATAAAGACTGGTAGAAACCAAGGAGAAAAAAATAAAAGAAAAATGAAGGGGTTTAAACTTATGTAAGCATACACAATCCATCACGAAAAAAAAAATTGTTGGCAATCATTTTGCAAATTTTGAAATGTAAGAGCAGGATTATATCTTTGGCAATAGCAAAAATTTTTTACCTCGCATCTAACCCCAACTACATCTGAAAGAACTACAGAAAATGAAATCACACCAGAAACCTTACACAAAAACAGCAGATGGGCCATAAAAGGGGGGCTACTCTGTCAGGATCATTTCTTGACAAATTCTGTCTCCTATACCCCCAAAAAGTGATATTAGTAGAGTGATTCTTTTAAGCATTGAAATTTTTTTTTCTTCAAATAAAAAGTAAATCATTTTAATAATATTTTTCTCTTGCATCAAAAAAATTTGTAAATGTAAACACATATAAAAGAGTAAAAGTCAAAACGAAATTGGAATTTTGGTTTATATATAATTAATTAATCTGTTCACAAATGAACAAGCCTTCAAAATTTCCTCTTGCTGCAACTCTTAATTTTCTTTTTGGAAACATAATTAGTCTACAAATGACCCTAAACATGCTGGCCCTGTTAAAAACTACAGTTCTGGAAGCTTTAGAGGTGAACAGCTTGAAAGTGAGCAGCAACTAAACTGGTGCCCTCTATAGGTAGGTGTTAATTCTACAGTTAAGCCACAGAAAATCTTCTTTAAAAGTTCACAGTTTGTGAAGATAAAGTATCGATGGAAAGTGATGTTAGCAAAAAGTGCTCAAATAGGATTGTTCCTTCTCAACACCGCTAAAGAAATATCGAAATCTGGGGTGGAAATATCACATGGCAAAGGCCAAAGTCAGTTTTTTAGGTGATTAAATTAATAAGAGAATGGTACATAGGATAAACACTGCGAGGTAGATTACATATATATCTGTGTGGCTTTAATTCTGATTGTCAATGCATGGTTATAAAGGCATTACTCTGAAGACTGCATTTCTTTGGTTTGCTACATGTGATACACTGGGTCTATACACTTGCAATGTATAGAGGTCATTAAAGGTCATTTGCTATTTTAAAAATGTAGATACAGTCTATATCAATCATATACTAAAATAGCAGTACGATACTAGACATGCTGTCTTTGTATTTTGAACCACGTTATTATTATCCATCTGCCCACCTGCATGAGCTCTCCATGAATAATTTTATTATTTTGGTAGTTGTTGAATGTTGTAAATTTTTTCAATATAAATAAAAAGTAAAAAAATTCATCCTCCAACCCATGATAAAGAAAACATCTATCCTCAAAATACAAAGCATAGTAAACACAAAAAAATGCCCTAAATTGTACACAAATAACACATCAATTTTGATTAGTCAATCCATATTGACCAATCATCTCACCTCTAGTCTGTCTGGGCGGGTGATTTTATTCTGGGCTATGGAGGTCGCGGCCTGGATGACACCGGAGATTGGCTGGGAGGCGGACTCGCTGACAGAGGGCGGAGTCACGGATACCGTCTGCATCCCCACGTACGGATTATAGGAGATGGATGTTGGATTGGGAACGGATCCGGCAAGATATGGGTGTCCCTATATATACACAAAAAATTATTATCATGAATACCACCAGAAGTTTTAGACATACATTTTCCTTCATAAACATATGGGAGATCAAGTTTTAATTTCAAACTTCATTAATCAATTTTTAACTTTTATAAAAAATGTGCAAATTAAAAATCGAGTGCTTTTCTATAAAAATGGCTACAGTGACACATTTCAAAAGCTTTAAGCACAGCTTTAAACATTGAATAAATGTTTTAAAATGAAATCTACAGACACAAGTGCTTCTATATATTCTCTAGAAAAATGAAATATCCATATACATGTCAAAAGCAAACATCTTTATGGAAAAGTTTTAAAAACATAGTTGGAATTTAGAAAAAAAAAGTTGCATTTGTCAAAAAATATCTGAAAACAACGTGCTATATAAAAAATTGGTTGGGATGATATTCCCACTACAATCACGTAAAAAGGACAATTATGATATCGAGATAAGAAAAATATTTGATATAAATTAGCTAAAAATCACACATAACGACTGTGTTTTTCATGAAAATTTTACGAAATATTTTCATCCATCTGATATTTTATGCACTTTAAAGTACCACCCTAGACAAATTAAAAATTATAAATACCCACAAACGGCTCAAAAGTGTTTTTTCTTTTTTTAATTTCCTGAGAAGAAGATTGTAAAAGCAATTACTTTGCGGGAGGAAACCTACAAATTATAACATCGTCTGAGGAAAGGAAATGGCGGATTTTTGTTTATATCCTTTATTGTCGGATTGCAAGACCTAGCTTAATCCAGCTACATTGATTTTGTCATTTCATTGTTTTGACTGCAAGCTTTTTCTGTCATATAAATTGCCCGATTTCTTTAGGGAATTCGTAACATTTCTATTTGTCTTTTAATTATAATTATATAATTCGCATGGCCAGGTTCCAATCGTAATCTGTCATAGACAAAATTTCAATTCTGACACATCTTCCTTTCTTTAACATCTTTAAATTTTTTTTTTTTATAAAATATGTCATCATCTGCTCAAAGGTTTTTTTTTTTAAATGACAGATTGGAGAGAAAACATTCCCAGTTATTGCATAATCTCCAATACCCTCTCCTGCTGGGCCCTTATAGTTATTTTTTAATTAACTTGTCTCAAACATTTAGCAAAGAAAAAGTTGCTTGCTTTTCTTCCCTTACAAATCTGAAGAGTGAGTCAGGGCCAATTGATTAAGAAAATACAAGCAAAATTTTCTGCCAGACACTTTATTTTTTGACAATTTTTTTTTCTCATGAAAAATTGGTAACCATTTCCATTTACCCCCCCCCCCCCCCAAAAAAAAAATTAAGAAAAAATATTTGGTTCCCCCAAGAGCCTGAAATATTACAATTATGAAGCATTGCTTTGTACGAATACAAGAAGCAAAAATTTAAATCTAAATAGGATATGGCAGCGATGCAATGTTGTTTTTTTTTTTTTTTTTTTTTTTTTTAATTTTCTAAAGATGGAACTGAATTAATGATTTACAAGCTTGCTTTGAACAAAAGCAAGAACAGGAAGCAGTACTTGCATTTGTGAGGACCCCCCCAGACCATCCGTAAGCTCGGTCCGGTATCTGAAACAGCCAAAAGTCACATCTCGTAATTAGAAAAAAAGTGGAAGAAAAGAGTGTACTCATCTTAAAAAAAAGCTTACATGTTGTAAGAAGTAATCTTGTAATTGAGTATAAAAAAGTCAAAGGAGGCTATCAAACTTTAAAATTTTTTTTTAAAATTAAAATATAAAAAAAGTTAAGCTTTAATTCCTGGATGTGTGAGATATGGTGTTGCAAAAAGTAAGATTACTCTTCTTTAAAATCTTTGAGACTTTAAGCTTTTAATTAAACTTAAGACTTAAAAAAAAATGTTATAGTGTTTTCTGAAAATGATTGAAATATTTAAAGCAAATGTGGAAAGAATGAAAAAAATTCAGAGTGCATAAATATATTTAATATAGTAATATGTATACACAAAACTTTGCAAGGTAGATAACTCTGTTAATCATGATTAAAATAGGATAAGCTAAAATACATTACACCATACATCATGAAGCAATGAAAGCATACAAACCATCTACAAACTATACACAAAGGGTCAGTTGCTAATATATATGGTACATGTATAAGCTTATACAAAGTTCTTAAATCAGGACTTTTGTTGCTTTTTTCTTAAAAGTAACCACTCCCTAGTTTTATAGAACTTAATTTTCTTCATATTTGCTAATTAATAATCAATCATTGAAATAGTGAGTATATATATAATTGTAGAGAGACATGCATGCTCATCATGCACTAGCTTGTTAATATAAACTTAGGGTGAATTAAATTTTAAAAGTTTTATTTTTCACTGGAAAACTATAAATTGAAAAAAGGTTCAACTTTTATTGATCACTTGATCATTTTTTCCCTTATAATGTTTCCTAGCTTCTCTGACATTTAAACTTTTTAATTTTTGCTTTGAGGATTCAGGTTCATCAACTCAAAATTCACTTAAAAATATAAATTTTGCTTAATGCATGAAAGATAAATTTATTCATATATAAAATAGACACAAATTAAGCTTATAGCAAACAGGATAGCATTTTAAAAAATAGCATATAAATTTAACTTGAAAATTCTAAAAGTAATAAAAATCCATTTTTCCTTATGAGAGTTATCCCTCTTTTCAAAGAGTCAATGAACCTTAAGTATTGCTTACATCTCCTTCACACTTTCAAAAAACATTCTCCCTCCCTCTATTATTTTCAAGCCTCCACAAATTTTTCCTGTCCCTACTCCATAATTTTTCCTGTGTTAAATTCCTACTCCACAATTTTTTTGCTGTGTACCTAAAGCAACATAAGTCAGAGAGCTTGTGCCTGGATGACATAGAAAGGTAAAATCAGTGTTTACCATGACCGTGGGCAACTGCCCAGTAGGGTAGAGGGCGGGCAAGGCAGCCAAAGATCCCTTACTGCTTGGTGAGGCCTCAGAACAGAAAGAAAACATGCAAAAAAACCAATTAGTATCCATGTCAAACTGGTGCAAAAAACATAAACAAACCAATCATAGCTCTTGTTAGAAAAATGATGAGAATAAATGTAACAAGAGCTGTGATTGGCTGGGGTCTGAGATTTTTAGAACAACATTATTGGATGAATGATTAAAGGAATGAACCAATCACAGCTTTTGTTAGACTAAAAAAAAATCAAAATCAAACATTGCCAGCGCCATCTAGCAATAATATATACATGTAAAATATACATACAAATTTGAGTATTTTAATTTAAATACAAAAGAGAGCCAAAAAGAGCATATACAAATCCTGGAGTTAATTATTAAAGATTGGAAAGCGATATGAAAGAAATAAATGTCTTCTACTGGAATACAAATCTAGCTGGCGAGATCACTGAAACACACCATTAACAAATTATTCTTTGTCTTTCAGACTTGCAAGACTATTTAATGGCTTTTATCTATTTTCAAGATAATTCTCCCAAGAAATTTTGGCTTTACAAATAGATTATCTTACATGAGAAACAAAGTTCTCACTCATAAAAACAGAGATCTTGTACAATAAAAGTTTGTTTCACTTTTGAATTGAATCTATATATATTTTATAAGTGATTTAATTGTCAACAGATTAAAAGATTTTCTAGAAAAGTTTAACATGGAAATGGTTCAGTGTTTTGCCAATGTTTTTTCATCTATCATGAACAATTAGCAATTAATTCAAAGAAATAACAAAACAATGACTAATCAACATCTCTGAAACGTTTGCAAGCAAAATTCTGCAAGCCCAATCAAATTAGAATATGCTCATTTAAATGCAAATTTATCCAGATGTGTCAAGACATTTTGTGCATATATGCATTTTGCTAAATCTAGTTCGAGAGGATGCTTCTTAACAATGCTTTTCTTCGCAGCTGTTCATGCCATCCAAAAAAGTGGATCATGTTAGTTTAGCTGGTCTTTAAAATGACCTTTCCAGTTTATATCCAAACAGGATTTCTTGAAAAAGCTTTGCACTTAAAGCTAATGGTCTAAGTTCATTGTAGGAAAAAAAATCTAGCTTGAAAAACATTCCTTTTTTTCCCAAGGGAATCAGCTAACATTACCTTAAGCTTAATAAATTACAAATTTTTTTTTAATTTTTACTATTTTAACAAAACTGCACAAGAAAATTAAAGGCATATACTCAGTACAGAAGTTTGACATTAAAGTGAACTGGGTTTTTTTTAACGACAGACAAGATCGATGAATATTGTGTCGGAACAAACATATTCGCAAATCGCACCATTTTATGGCCAAAGAGCCCATAAAAATCTAAAAGCAAGCTCAGCTTTGGAAGTTTCAGTGTTTGCTGCAGATGTCTGCCATTAAAAAAAAATATCATTTGACAAAACTCTCTCTCCGACAAAACTTTAACTGTCAATGGCGACACAACTTACAACTATGAATATCCCTATTAGCTTAATTACGTACCCAATGATCAGGCATTGGGTAAAAAAAAGATTGATTCATCTTGAGAGGAATTTTGAGTTTTGGGGAAATGTATGTAAAACAAGAATTTCAAGCTTTAAGAACAATATTAAGATACTATAATGGCTTGGCAAATGAAGCATTAGCAATCACGTAGGTCTATATACATGTAGAATGGTACGTACGACAAGCCTGTTATACTCACAATGGTGGGCAACATCCCGGGCACAATTCCCGCTGACGGTAATAAATTCTGGGCTGCAGCAGCCTGCATTTGTAAATTTTTTAAGATTAGGTTATTTCGCCCATTCTGTAGAAGCTGTTCTCGTAGATGTTGAGGGGGGTGGAGATATTTACACGGAGGATCTTTCCTCTGACACTTCCCCTGTAAAGAAAAAAATTTTTTAAAATTATTTCAAAATTCAGATTTGAAATTTTTTAAAAATTTAAGGGCTTAATTATATTGATTTTTTTTATGATAAAAGCTTGAAAGAAAAATGACTGCGTAAATGTTTTTATTGAAATGGAACTGCTGAAGTCTTTCAAAAATGCACTAAGCCTGAGTGGAGACATCTCAAAATAAATCTGATCACAGGGAGAGAAAAATCAAATGAAAATTGCGGTTTCATAATAAGGCTTCAGAGACTGGAAAAACATCCTACACAAAATCCATTTTCGTTACTGCAGGAAGCACACTGATTGGGAAACATTTAAACTGTTGGAGAGAAAAATCAACCTAGTCCAGTCCTAGCCTAGCCACAATTATAACAACTCAAAACTCGACAAGGGTCTACTCTTGTTATCTTGCTAAATACTGATACAATTCGTGTTCCCAACAAAGCCTCTTGTTTGGTGCCCAGCAAGAAGGTCTGATTACCCTACTGTTCCCTGAATAGTATCGGAGTCGAAAATGGAGATTACCAGAAATAAGGCACATAAAGGGACCCATTCATGTAATCGGGTTTCCTTTTCAGTAAATATCACTATCTAAAGAAGGAAACTGTTTATTATCAACTGCTCTAATCAACTCCAATAGAAAATGTGGCTAATCAGCGGTAAGGAATCGGAAAGCGCAGGCAAAAACAATAGATGGAGAGTTGAACAACTATAGAAAAATGGCAGACCAATAAACAAATGACCATGGAACTATTGATACTCTGCTCAAAAGACTAATGGCTTTTCTGGGGAGGGGAAACAAGGAATTAAGACTTTATCAGGACTTTGATTGTTTGGAACATGTACGTTCATTATCGTCAGTGAGTGATTAATTTGACAGAACCTGCAGTCGTAAATCACAAAGTGATTTATTTCAACGACTTCTTGACAGTTTTCAACTATAGCTTTACCTTAATACTTCAAGTTTGAAACACTTACCAATAAATATTGGTAATTTATCCAATAATCTGATTCCTTTAATTGACCTATAGATGAAGTCAAGAGTGATTCTGTTTTTTTTTTACTCCAAATAAGAAAAAATAGCCATATGCAACTAGCTGTCCATTGATTACCCATATATTTACATGACCAAAGAAGATGGATGCCTTAATTGTCTATGTATGAAGAAGCTGGACTCATCATTAAATGACCATATCATTTTGATAAAAGACAAAAGCACCATAAATATAAAACCCAAGCCACTTACTTAATCTGCCTGGCCTTCTGCCAGTACCCTAATTTGATGAGGTTGGGACAATGCAACAAAAACTTTATGGAGAAAACAAAAGAAAAAAGTTGGGATCTACTCTGATTCAGATCGATTTGCAGACCTGGTCTAGACGGGATGTAAATGACAACTTTTATTCCTCAAATCTTCAAGTTACAGACCAAGTCAGACATGAATGCACTAAATATATCTGTCAGAGGGGGCTAACTAAATCTACATACATTCATAATTATAAGACAGAAAACTAGTGTTATTGAAATATATATAATTTATATTTTTTTGGCTTTTTTAAAACTTCTCAAAATTATGATCACTTTAAATGTACGGTTATCAGGTGAATTTTTGTTCCTTACTGCTAAAAGTATGTTTGAAATCCTGGGCACTGCACCAAAAAGGATACAAATCTAGTATCCATTTCTAATCTTGAAGTAGCAATAATTATGTTCCCCAAACGAAGTTGGGGAACATATTGTTTTTACTCTGTTTCTTATTATTAAGGTCTTCCGTTTCAACGGAAGACCTTCTTATTTTTCTGTTGTTTCTTTTCAACTTTTCTTATTATTATTATTCTTACCGATTTTGTGCACGCGATTTCTCGTAAATGCGTCAATGGATTTTCATGAAACTTTCAGCATTGATGACAAATGATATGAACTTAAGGCGTTTTTTTTTATTTTATTACGTCACTTCCGGTTCGGAGTTTTTTCGCGATTTAGTGAGTTTTAACGGCAGTTTTCTCAAAAATCACTCAACGCAGAAGCATAAAATTTTCTGTGCTGATAGAGCAACCTTTGGAGATATGTATTTGGCATATCTCAACCACCGGAAGTACGAAGGGCCGACGCTGGCTATTGTCCGAAAACAGTCCTATCAAGAATTTCAAAATTTTTAACACCTTTTCTACGATAACTTTTTATCTAGAAATATTTTATTAAAGCATGTAGAACAAAAGAAGTGTAGAATTTGAAGATATTTCAAATGATATCTCGAAAAAAGGGCTGGCCCCTAAAATTAAGGGCCAAGGGGAGCCGAAAGTTTTTCCTTTATATCTCAAAAAGTATTGAGAATTTGTAATACCTCGAAGAAGCAAAGTTGTTCAAAATGTCAAAATTAATCTATTGAAGTCAAAAAAATACGTCCGGCATCGTCACTTCCGGCCAAACCGGAAGTAGTTGAAAAACGCGTATTTTTGCTATTCTTGACAAGTTTTGGGGTAACATATGTCACTGGAAGCCTAAAACTTAATCACTTTTAACCGGAAGAAGCAAAAATTGCTTATTTCTGCATTAATCAACATAGCTTTAGATGATTCAAACCATTTTTAGGCGTTATTTCTTATTTTTTGTTAAAAATGAAAGCTACTTCCGGTCAAACAGGACGGAAGACCTTCTCGTTGCTTTGCAACGAGCTTTGCTCTAGTTATTATTATTTTTCTTCTTCTTCTTCCTGGAACTTTTTTGTCCGGGAATGATCTTGTAAACTGTTCGTCCGATGTAGATAAAACCTTTTTAGGGTTAGTAGACATGTTATGTAGATTTGCGGAATCAAGGTCATTTTGCGCGCACGTGCTTGCAAGAGCGTGCACGTGCAACACGTGAAATGACCAATATAATAGATATAGCCACAACTTTTTTTTTTAGATGAAATGCTTTGAAACTCATAATGTGAGGATATATAAGTAGTATAGACATGACGACATGGTGAAAATAGCAAGGTCTCACGCGCATGCACGTGCACTTCGCTCTGATTGGCTGCAACTAAAGTCTCAATATCTTTCTTGTTTTTTGACGAAATCCTTTGAAATTTTGAACATAGCCATGCATTAGGATATCCTACAACCTGAAGTAAAGCAATTATCATGAAAACACGTGCATGCACGTGCGCTGCAATCTGATTGGCTGAAACTTTAAACAGCTATAACTCCCTTGGTTTTCAACCAAACAGGATGGGATTCGGAATATAGATAAATATAATCGACTTCTACAAGTAGGTATGGTCACAATGCACATGCATACACGTGCGTGTACATGTGCTGCAATCTGATTGGCTGAAACTTTAAACAGCTATAACTCCCTTAGTTTTCACCCAAACGGGGTGGAATTTAAAACATAGATAGATGTAATGGACTTCTACTAGAAGGTATGGTCACCATGCTCATGTATGCACGTGCGTGCACGTGAAATGAGTAAAATCAAACATACACTTGAACGAGCGTATTTTTTAAATAATTTTGGATTAAATACTTTAATATTCAGTGTATTAAAAATATAGATTGTGTAGACAAGATGATATGGTCATGACGCAAATGCATTCACATGCGCACGACTGCAATGCTAAAATTCAAATGATTTTTGTACACTTCTTTGTAAATGTTGTTAAAATCTCAGATGAAGATTGTCTTATTTAATGAAGCTTACAGGGAATGTGACACTAAAAGGGAGTTGGGGAGCGTTTGGGGAACATCTGTAACGGTCCCCGTTACAATTAGCACTAGTTACTATCTATTTACCTGCATATAGGGTTTCTGCCTCTCATTGTTTGATGTGCAAAAGCATGTTCTACATACAAACTTTTCAAATTAAGTAGGTTACTGACAAATAAGTAATTGATATAAAGATGTCTACAATCTTGTATAAAGTCAACATTTCTAAGGCTGATAAAATGACCTGGCTTGCAAATATAATTTAATCAAATGATGACTGCAGGCATCTTTCAAATGAATTGTTAGGCCATAATATTTTCAAACTAATTGGCTTTTGTTTTTGTTTTTTTTCATTAAAAAATTATGTTTTCTGCTCATGTTACCTTCTTGATTTAAATTACTTCCAGTTTCAGTTACACCTCAATTGGTATGTTTCACTCCGTGGGACTGGCAAAATGTATAAAGTTATGAAACTGTAACTTTTAATTGTAGTTTGGACCTTAGACATCATTAAACATACATTATAATCCTTGGTGTTTTACATACTGGCAGATCATCCCAAAATTTCTCTATGCTTCACAGGATGACAAAGCAAGTTGATTTTATTTATGTAAAGGCTAGCGGAAAATTATTACATTTCTTAAATGGCTGTTCACTCAGACGCTGAATTTTAACAAATTTATATCCTAGCTAATCCATGTTTAAGATACCTGGCATCTATGCTATTCTTATTTAATAACAAAAGGGCAAAACTATTTTGTTTGGGTCAACATTCCTTACCCAATTGACTGGTAACGTAATTAAGTTACCTAATTACGAGCTTATGTAACATGTACCAATAAAAAGAAGACAGAGCACATCATTGTCTGAGCCGCAGCATTTACCAGCACTTAACAATCAATATATAACGTATCTCTCACACATGCTGAGAAAGAGAGGGGTATCGGCAATAAAACAGTTAGATGCAGATTTTAATTGCCGTTCCCATCTCTGTTCCTCCTTCGTGTAAAGTAGATACTCTGATAGTAAAGTAAATGGCACCTCCAGACGCGGTTTTCCAAAATCCCTAGACACTTTCCAAAAAACTCTATAGATATTATGTAATATTCCACGGAATGGGCAAAATCTTTCAGTCTGATTGGGGCAATTTATGAAAGCAGGCATAAAAATTTGGAAGCTAAACAGCTTTTGACATTTTTACTTGCAGCTGTTTCGTATTTAAATTTGTTTTTTAAATCCCCCAATGAATTTCAAATATGAGTACCTTTAGATGTTTCATTACGTAATTTTTTTCTGTTTT